GTCTCTGCCCCTGCCTCTCCGCAGTGCCAGGAGCCCAGGCTAAACTTTCCCAGGTACAACCCATCCTCCGAAGGCCTTCTCCAGATACCGGGCTACCGCCAGCGTCAGGTGGTCGTTGTAGGAGGCTGCGACCAGCTGGATGCCCAGCGGCAGGCCCTCGCTGCTCAGGCCCAGTGGGCACTGCGTCACCGGCAAGCCCAGGACGTTGAAGATAGCTGGAAGAGAGAAGGTTGCATCAGAGCAAGCACAGCAACCGGGATAAATCGCTGCCTGGCTCTCCTAACCCAGGTAGGTAGCTGCTGCCACGCATGGCACCGGGCTCCTTGGAGCTGGTCCCGGCCGGAGCGGTGCAGTCAAGGCAGATGGTGCAGAGACATGGCGACGGTGCAGAGACATGACGACAAGGGGACATCGCTGGCCAGAGGTTCCCAGCGCCCACATCACATACGCAAATTGCACCCACGAGTGATGACACACTCATGTGGCACTTGCTGCTTTGGGACATTCCTGCCTCAGGCACCTCCTTCCATCACTCGAAAGCCAGACAGCATTGCAACACGGTGCTGGCATCAAGGAGCTCAAGCTGCGGGAAAGCCACATAGAGAGCCCCAAACTGTACCCCAAGAGACGCAGCAGCTCTCGGGTGCCTGCTAAACCACAGCGCCAGCTGTTACAGCGTGAGCGCATCCCTCTGGGGCAGGGCGGTCCCCCTCCAAGATCAAACCTGCCCCGCTGCGGACAGCAGGTACAAATGCCACAGTTTTAAAGCATGACCATAATCCTTGCCCCATATTCTGGAGCAGCGAGACACCCCGCTGCGCTGCAAAGCCCAATGTCAGCGACGGAAATACTCTGGGTAAAACACCCTGGCTCCCAGCCCGCACTGCTGCAGGGGGTGAGGGCATGCCTGTGACCCTGCCTGCACCCCAGCAAGGAGTCAGAGCTGCTCACCTGTGTAGGCGAAGTTGAAGGGCATGCATATGGGGGAGTGGTGCCTGGGAGCTATGGTGGGGTGGGAGGGGTAGAGGAGCACCCCGTCCGGCCCCAGCAGGGCCTCCATCTCCTCCTGCAGGCTCTTCCCCATGCTCACCAGCTTGGCATTCCCACCAGGGTTGAGTTTCATCAGCTTCTCCGTCAGCCCCAGGGCTGCAGGGCAAGGGCACAAACAGGAATAGAGAGTGAGCGAGAGGACTGTGGGTTAAGCAGGCTAGAAAGCGCATTGCCCGGCCACACGCGGCATCCCCCGGCTCCTAGTG